CAAGTTGGTGAGAGGCAGCTGGGTAGAAGCTGTTTGCTCCTCTCCCAGCGCCATATTGTGGGAGAGCAGATGCATAGAATAAGTCTTAATTCCAGTAACTTAGTCTAGTCCGAGTTGCTCCCCACAAGCTTTGGACAAAATTCAGTTGAATTCAAAAGTCGTAAGTCCATTAGCTTCTAATAATACAATGTAAAAGAAAGAAGAGATCTGTGATTTGTTTTGAGACTTGACTGCATGGTACATTCATTATGTCATAAAATGATTCCTTATTAAATTTATTTTTACTGTAACTATTTAATTTATTTAGATACTTAATATATTGTTCTAGTTTTTAATGAATATTTGCAAACCTGATACTGTAAAGGGAAACATGAAAGATAAAGGAAGGGATTGGGAGAAAGAGAACAAGAGAGGGTGAGAGAGGGAAAGAGAGGCAGAGACAGTTAAATATTTTTAATTAAGTTCCACTTTCCATGTTAAATTCTAGTTAATACAGAACTTCTTCTTGTTGGCCTCTTCTGGAACCAGATGATCTTCATATACTCTAGCATCATCTCTTACTAAAACTATTCTATACAGGGCATAAGCACTTTTTCTAAGACTCAAACCTATATCTCTAGTGCAGGGTTGATGATATGTCCAGTTTAATACATCATATCACCTTCCCAGTTTTCTTCATGTTTAATCTAGATATCCAATATTCTGATTGTCCAAAACTGCTGCTACTCAGTAAAATTTTGAATTGGCTTTATATCCTGCCCACTTATACTATTTGTTTTTTTATCTGGATGTTCCCTATTGATAGCATTAACAAAGAATATTGATCTTAAGAATTTTATAAACCATAGTATTAGAAAGTTCTCTTTGTCTTCTAAGAGGCATATTATATGCCCATAACTATTTAATTATTCAATATGGTTTACATCACCACTGATGATTGCAGAAAGATTGTGGATTTTTATCTGTACTGAAGTAAAATAGTTCAGTGGTTCTGTTGTTGAAGCTTTATTATATGATTGAACTCATTTTTTTTTTACTGTAGTTGTTATCAAAATGTTACTCATCAAAAATCATACCATTATTCTAAGGGATAAAATAAACTATTGATAAAGCAATTCCCATTTATGTTTTCCAGAAGCTACTTTGCATTATAAGGTATTCACCAACTTGTTCCCTTTGAAAAATCTTCAATGCACTGTCCTAATCAAGGCTCAGGGCTCCAATCCACATAAGAACTTGATGACTTCCTTCTCCAAATTAATGGAGATGTGCTGAAACACCTACTTAGCCATACTAAAGGATCCACACTGCTCTTCCAACTCGTATTTTATGTCATGGAAATAATAAGATCTTATAATGTGGAAATTATGTTCATCACAAGAGGCTTTAAAAATGAAACTATGAAATCAAGGCTAGAATCTTGCTGGAGATGGCCATACTAAAACCAATAACAAAAATAGTGCCAAGGTACTTGGTCCTGGTGCCCAGTTTGAAACTTTATCAGCTTTAACCACTTTTTCTCCTTTGTTTCAGGCTTTCTGTGCTGCTATGCAATATAAAGTATGAAATGCTATGTGTCATAAACTTTTATTTATATAAAGTGAACAAATTCCATATATTTCATATATACAGATTTGAGTATAGTGATACTGCCCACCCTACCATCCCTCTTGCCCTTGCTCCCACTCTCCCTTTCTTTCCTATTTTTTAATTTTTAAAATGACATACTTTCAGTTTATTTTATAATCATAAGATTAACCCTCCACTAAGTAAATAATTCAACAAGTAGCAAGGAGGAAAAAAAAAAAAAACCACTGTTTCTCAACAGTAGAGACAAGAGCTGTAAACAATAATTTCTGCCATGGCATCTATTTTTTAAACCTCATATAAATCATTTGAAACTCAATAGTATTACATCACCTTTGACCTAATTAAACCCTCCTTTCCCTGTGTAGTTGCAATATAGTCTGTTCCTCATCCCATTGAACCCGAACCTAACACACTGAATAGTTGCTGGTCATTATAAAAAATGGGGAGCACATGAGAGTCATATAAATAAGATGTTCTTCTCACACACATTTTCTCAAAAAACTAGTCAATGCATACCTCTGAGGGAAAACCTAAGCGATATCATCCCTGCACATTGACAAAGTCATCACCCTACAGGTCCTCTCTCACTCTGTCCCTACTTTCTCTCCCATTTCCTTCCTCCCCACCCGCTGGTTGAAATCTCTGTTGCCTCTAACCTTCCTTTCTACCTTCCATCAGCACCTGTAGCTTTTTTGAGACTGTAAGTAGTCAATTTCATCTGCTACATGCATGTTCATTCTGCCTACCTGTTGTGTCTCACCTAACCTACGTACTAGTCAAACTCAAGTTTCCCCTCTGGTAAGGACTCTTTTAGATAGTGGCTTTCATGGCTGATGGCTTAATAAGTCTCTTTTCTTAATAAAGAGACCTCAAGACAAAATTAGAAAGAAGCCACAACAATAGAAACAATAACATTTCACACATATGAGTCTGCTGGGATAAAACTATGAAATCTTAGTCTTCATGAGTTATCTTGTTGGACCCACAATTTAAATGTGGTTTACTGACTATAAACACAATATGGTTCAAATGACTTATATACTTAATTATGTGGTAAATAAAAGATACACAGAAAAGAAATATTGATTATATCTCTGGTTAGTCAGAAGATGTTGCTTCAAACCATTCCCATTAATTCCTCCAAACTCTCCTTTCTAAATAATCATTGATAATAGTTTATTAATAAGTTTTGCCTTATGAGCAGAGGCAAAAGACTGGATTTTTAAGGCACAACAATAATAAAGGGAACACCAGTTTGTCAGTGAAAGACAATGACATCTTATATGAAGTCAACGAAAACTTATTTATAAAGACATATTATATATCATAAGATTAAGTGATATTACCAATCATCTCTGCTTCATCAAAGAAAGATATCTACCCAGGCTGGCACTGTGGTGTAATGGGTGAAGAACCGCCTGCAGTGCCTGCATCCCACATGGGCGCAGGTTCGAGTCCCAACTGCTCCACTTCTAATCCAGTTCTCTATTATGGTTCAAGTCCTTGGATCCTTGCACCCACGTTGGAGACCCAGGAAAAGCTTTTGGCTACTAGCTTCAGATCGGCACAACTCCAGCCATTGAAGCCATCTGGGGAGTGAACCAATGGATGGAAGACCTCTCTCTCTGCCTCTGCCTCTCTGTAACTTTGCCTTTCAAATAAGTAAATGAATCTTCAGAAAAAATGCTCAGGATCAAAACCACTATGAGGTTTCACTTCACCCCAGATAAAATAGCTTATACCATCCCTCACTCCCACCTTCCTCTTTCTTATTTTTCTCTTAGTTTTTACAGTGATGTACTTTCAATTTACTTTATAATCACAAGATTATAAATCCTCCGTGAAATAAAGAATTCAACAAGTAGTAAACAGAAATGGTAGTATTCCTCAAGAGTGTAGATAAGGGCTTTACACAATAATCAAATCTCAAAATGAAAATTTCACTTAAATACATTTTTTGCAGTCTGTGTATTAGTTGCCACAAATCAGGGAAAGCACTTGTTATTTGTTTTTGTGGGACTGGCTTATTTCACTAAGCATAATGGTCTCCAGTTGCATGTATTTCATTCTTTTTCACAGTTAAGTAGTATGCCACCATGTATATATACCACAATTTCTTTATCTAGTCTTCAGTAGATGGACATCTGGGTTAATTCCGTATCTTAGCAATTGTGAGTTAAGCTGCTATAAACATGGTTGTACAGGGAACTGTTTGATATGCTAATTTCATTTCTTTTGGGTAAACTGCCAGGAGTGGAATGGCTGGGTCATACATTAGATCTATTTTCAGATTTCTGATGTATCTCCATAGTGTCTTCCATAAAGGTTGTACTAGTTAAATTCCCACCAACAGTGTATTGGGCTAACTCTTCCTTTCTTTCTTTCTTTCTTTCTTTCTTTCTTTCTTTCTTTCTTTCTTTCTTTCTTTCTTCCTTTCTTCCTTTCTTCCTTTCTTCCTTTCTTCCTTTCTTCCTTTCTTCCTTTCTTCCTTTCTTCCTTTCTTCCTTTCTTCCTTTCTTCCTTTCTTTCTTTTTTTTTTTTGACAGGCAGAGTTAAATAGTGAGAGAGACAGAGAAAAAGGTCTTCCTTTTTCCGTTGGTTCACCCCCAAAGTGGCCCCTATGGCCGGCACGCTGCACCGATCCGAAGCCAGGAGCCAGGCGCTTCCTCCTGGTCTCCCATGCGGGTGCAGGGCCCTAGCACTTGGGCCATCCTCCACTGCACTCCCAGGCCACAGCAGAGAGCTGGACTGGAAGAGGAGCAACCAGGACAGAATCCGATGCCACAACTGGAACTAGAACCCCGGGTGCTGGCGCTGCAGGTGGAGGATTCGCCTAGTGAGCCGTAGCGCTAGACGAGGGTACCTTTTTCCCCACATCCTCACCAGCATTTGTTATTTTTTGATTTTTCAATGATAGTCATTCTAACTGGGGTGAGGTAAAACATTCATTGTGGTTTTGATTTGCATTTCCCAGAAGGCTAGTGATCCTGAGCATCTTTTAAAAATCTATTTTTTTAAGATTTATTAATTTTTTACTTGAGAGTCAGAGTTACATAGAGAGAGGAGAGGTGGAGAGAGAGAGAGAGATCTTCCATCCGACGGTTTACTCCCCAACTGGCTGCAATGGCCGAAACTGCACTGATCCGAAGCCAAGAACCAGCAGCTTCTTCTGGGTCTCCCACGCAGGTGCAAGGCCCAAGGTCTTGGGCCATCTTCTAACTGCTTTCCCAGGCCATAGCAGAGAGCTGGATCGGAAGAGGAACTGCTGGGACTAGAACCAGCACTCAAATGGGATGCCGGTGCTTCAGGCCAGGGCGTTAACCAGCTGAGCCACAGCGCCGTCCCCTCTATTTTTATATATCTATCCCACTTATTTTATTTCTCTAAATAACCCTGTTTTATTTATATACATATGGATATAAACAATTAGTTGAAGAAATTTAGAATTTAAACAACATATTGAATACTGCAACAAAAGTTTTGTTAACTATCTTAAACTACTTATTGTAAAAATAGTAACAATTGTCTCTCAGCCCATATGTTGAAAAAATGGAACCTAATAGGATCCATAATAACACAATTTTTTTATTTTACATGCATTATTGGTCCAATAAACTGAAACAATTCACTTTATCTTCACTTGTATGAATCTCATCTTAAGGAGTATGAAACTTTTTATTCCTTTATTTTAATGATTTTTATTAAAAACATTATTTCTGTCACTTTTTTTTAACAAAAATCACATACATAAATTTAAAGTTCCAAGTCCAGTGAAATAGCAAAACTGTAAATCACCTTTAAACTTTTCCTGTGGTACACATATTATCACCCACATTTACGGATAAAGAAATTTGGATGGATCTGGTTCAATGATTGGCAAGAATGGTAAGTATTAAATGGGAGAAAACCATTTATCTAGAAGCATGTCTGCCTCTAAAACCATTCTTACTTAATTCTTGATAGTATTGTCATGTGAGAAAAATACATTATGTTGCAATAATTTTGTTGCAAATAAAATTTTATTACTCATTACTTTTTTTAAATCGATGGTTTCCAATTATTTTTGTTGTAAAAGATGCTGCTCATTGTTAATATCATAGACACTTAGCCTACATGGCATAATTCTGACAAGGCACTGGATTTTAATTAATAAGAAAATAAGTCTGTCTTTTTTGAAAGTTGATAACAAATAAAAAAGGGAAAATTAAAGAAATGAAAAGAATGTTGAATATATAGTGAGAGTGAGGGGAAAGAGCACAGATAGTAGGTTTAGTAGGTTAGGAATTTTACTTCCTTCTATAGAAGTCGTGTCTTGATACCATGATACTAAATTAAGGAAGAAGCTCCATGTCCAGAGAAGCTTTCATGAGATAACACTTCATGTAGGTATCTTCCAACAGACAGTTCTATACAAAGGTCTTGCCTTTATTCTTTATTTGCATTTCCCTGATGAGTAGTGATCCTAAGCATTTTTTTAAATGTCTGTTGGCCATTTGTATTTCTTAAATGAAATCAGCATATGAAAGGCTTATTTGTACCCCATGTTTATAGCAGCTCAATTCATAATAGGTAGGATAATGAGTAATGAATCAACCTGGATGTCCATCAACAGATGACTGGATAAAGAGAATGTACTATATATACACGTGGACTACTACTTAGCCGTAAAAAGAATAAAATTCTGTGTTTTGCAAAAAAGTGGATGCAACTATGAGTCATTATTCTTAGTCAAATAACCCAGTCCCAAAAAGACAAATATCATATGTTTTCTCTAATATGTGGTATTTAATGTAGAATACAAAGCAAAAAACAATGAAACTAATGTCTTATCATTTGTTTGTTCTTTATACCCCTTGTCTATATTACTGAGGATCAATGGTCTTTCTAGTTTTTACTTGTTGAATATGATAGCAGTGTATTAAGTCTGTGATTATAAATTGAAAGTACATTATTACCAAAATTAAAGGGAAAAAGAAAGGAAATCAAAAGGGGGATTGAGGGAGAGAAGTATGGTTATCTAGAATTCTATGAAATACATGAAATCTGTTCTCTTTATATTATTAAAATTAAAATCATAGCCAAAAAATTGATTTCTAAAGAAATATCACTTTAAAATCCTGGTCTTCCTCCTTTCAGACTTTGTACCGTGGAATTTACATCTATTGGCAATTACATCTATTGGAAACTGGAAAGGAAGACTCCTTTCTACATGTACCTTGGAAATTACATCTATAATCAACTGGTTCCAAGGTTCATATGTAGAATTCTCAGCAGTCTAAGAAATTTCAAGAAATAGACTAGATCTAGGCACCAAATATCAGTCCTAGAACCTGGGACTCTAAATTTCTCCTTTGCTTTCCACTCATGGCAGCTAGAGGGGCCTCAAATCATGCATGCAAGTATATTAGCCTATATGTCTAAGGTCTATCTATCCTCCCACTGTCTACCCGCATGGCCTTACCTTCCCACCTACACCGTCTGGCAAACAACTACTCTTTGGTCACCCTTTGGGGTCAGCTGTTCTAACACCTACTGTGTGTTCTGTCCCTGAAGGATTAGAACAGGGAAGAGACTCATGTGGGCCCTGGAATTGTACCCAGAATACTTGGTTGTGGATATCTGGAGAGTTACCCCGTTTCCAAAGGGCCCTTTCCCTGATATAGCTGTCTCTCCTTTTCGCTTGGCTTTCCTCATCTACTTGAGACTATGCTCTGGGTATTTTTATTTTTTTCTCTTTATTACTTTTTAGTTATGCCTTAATCAACCCAGACTCCACTCTCTTTCCAACATGTTGGGAGCAACTCTACATCCTATCTCAGAGAAATGTTATGAAAATTAGTTAAGAATATATAGTACCAAAATTATACCAAAAGTATAAAATATCAAGTTTCACTACATACAAAAACCAATATAGATTAAGGATCTGCTCACAAGTAATTGTATCATATCTCTGTATTACATTAAGTTTAAATTTTCTCTAATTTTTTCCTGCTACTAGTGTTACTAATATTGATGAGAATAAAAATGATTATTTGCTAAGCACTTGCTATCTCAAAGGCAATTGTCATAAATACAATTTTATTGGTTCTACTTTTCAAATTTCACTGATTAACGTCTGGCTATTTCCGTTCTGTGTCTCAGATTCTTCCTTCATTTGTCATTTTCAGATATGTCAGACCTACTAACCTGGGGTTTCTACAACATTTTCCCAATTGATCTCCCTTCCAACAGTTCTTCAGCCGTAACTGCTATCCCTTGTGCCAAATGGCATTGTCAAAAGCAGAACAGGCATAAGGAATCTCAGTATCCAGAAAGGGAATGGAGAGAATGCAGTTACTTTGGAAAGCCAATCTATTGATTAAACAGAGTGGTTTTCTCACTTAGAGTCACAAGTGTATTCCGATTTCTCGTTATTTCACATGTTCTTCTGGTTCAGATTTGTAGCTAGCAGAGTCCTTTTTCAGAAATGCCTGTCTCTTCTTTGTTTGCTTTGTTTCTGTCATTTACTTGAGACTACACTATGGATATTTTAATTATTTTTTATTTTTTCCTCTATGTTTTTTATTTTATTTTTTTAAATTTATTTGACAGATAGAGTTTTAGACAGTGAGAGGGAGAGACAGAGAGAAAGGTCTTCCTTCCGTTGGTTCACTCCCCAAATGGCCACTATGGCCAGCACTGCGCCAATCCAAAGCCAGGAGCCAGGTGCTCCTTCCTGGTCTCCCATGTGGGTGCAGGGGCCCAACCACCTGGACCATCCTTCACTGCCCTCCTGGGCCACAGCAGATAGCTGGACTGGAAGAGGAGCAACCGGAACTAGAACCCAGTGCCCATATGGGATACTGGCACTGAGGTGGAGGATTAACCAAGTGAGCCATGGCGCCAACCCCCCTCTGTTTTAATCAACCCATACTATATTTGTGCAATGACCATATCATGGAAATATGCAGCATATTTATAGAAAATGGAGTCTTTAAAAGCACTAATTTAAGTAGACAACCCATAACTAACCAATATTTCAGGCCAGTTAACAGACAATTGGGACTCAGCTCTCTCATTTACATAAAATGAGAAAATAGTCATATTTCATATATTAAAATACTATAAAATATAAAAATTTGCTCAGCATGTAGAAGAAACTTAAGATATATAGTTTTATCCTGCCTTCTACCTTCTGTCAACTGAGCACTTTGATAATATGCTTATGTATCTAATTATTTCTGTTTCCTTTTTTGTTTTTCTAAATTAAATTGGCAGAAAAACTTGTGTATTTATCATAAGCAACATTTTGCTTTGAAATATGTATGTCTTGTAAAGCAACTAAATCTAGCCATTTAAAATATCATTCCTGACACAGATATCTTTTCTGTGGTTAGAACATGTCATATCAACTGTCTGGTCTTTTGCAAGAAAGTAATATGTTGTTAGTAAGTTTCAGTCAGACTGATTTCAGTTACTGGCCTACAATGTATGCATTAAAGCAAAAAACAAAACAAAATAAAATGATGTTAAGTTCAATAAATGATTCTTGAATAGAGTTTTCATAGTAATTAGAAAACAAGAGTGTTTAGAAGAACATTCAAAGATATATATTAACACAGACATAGGACTCCACTACTAATACCTATAATTTCTGGTGTTCCTGGAAAAAGAAATTCACACTGAATCAAGTTATGTCAAGTAGAGCATGAATTTACTTCTCTGTATCTTCTTTCCTTACTCTTTTGCCCAAAGCTCTCTTCACATCCAGGTATGTGTATAATGAAAATTCTGGTAAGAAGAGAAACAGTTAACTGTGCACTCAGGATCTGTCTGTTGTCAACTTTCCAGTGGCTAGCAGAAAGTGAGCCATTATTCTGACTTACTAAACAGAACTCTTAATTATATTTATCATATTTAGACATTTGTAAAACTATAATTTTATCGACATTCTTTTTTGGTGTCCTTTGTTTTTCACAATTAGATTAAATTAATCCACCAATGTTGTAAATGCTTAATATTCTTAACTGGACAATCTTAGTGAGATTATTACCACTTTAACACTATGAAATACTTTCCACTTCTGGGATAATTAATAGTATATAAATCTTCATTGACACTATAATTTATATCAACAAAATGTATATTGAGCTATAATAAAGAGAAAATCAGGTGAGTTCTCTTACTCATCGTCTTACTGTGGATGTAGTCTAGAATAGAATATCCAAGTTTTCAGTGATGACAAAAACCTTTAATTTATAGATTGTATAAGAAATCGTATAGTTGCTTCATAAAACTGAGAGTAATGATTTTTAAAATATTTATTTATTTATTTATTTGAGAGCCAGAGTTACAGAGACATAGGGATAGACAAAGAGAGAGGGAGAGAGAAGGAGAGAGAGAGATCCTCTTCTCTTGGTTCACTCTTTAAATGGCCCCATTGACCAGAGCTGAGCCAAGCTATAGCCAGGAGCCAGGAGCTTCCTCCATGTCTTCCAAGGACTTGGGCCATTTTCTGCTGCTTTCCCAGATGAATTAGCAGATCAGAAGTGGAGCAGCTGGGACTCGAACTGCTGCCCATATGTGATGCTGGTGCTGCAGGCCAAGGCTTTAATCCACTGAGCCACAGCGCTAGCCTCTGAAATAATTATTTTAAAATAGCAGCTCATGCTAACAAACTTTAGGGTGAATTGGAAAAATCTGTATTTATTAATTTTCACCCTTTCCTTAGCTTACAGCATTGTGTAGACAGAGAAGGTGTTGACTTTAAAGGTCCAAATGTACACGTTTAAATATGAATACAAAGTTCAATGGAACTTTGACTTTTCTGTTACTTTTGTCATCAAGGCTGACTAGACCACAAAGGGTCTGAGTCACTGACAGTTTTTATATAAATATCTCCACTTGTGACTAATACATGACTAACTTGTGCATGGTTTAGTGGTGTTCCCTATAGAGAACAAGAGAAGCCATCTCTGTTATACCTACAAGTAGAACATTCCTGAAGTTTGAAATCGCTAGATTCATTTGCTCAAAACATCTATCACAAAACATGAGCTTTATTAGGCTCTTAATATTTTTTTCCCTCAGTATCACTGTAAATGTGGATTGGCATGAATGGAAATGGGTTCAAATGAATTTATGCTGTTGCATACACTAAATAGGACAAGACTCATAATAAATACACTTCAAACATTGTTTTGACTTTATGACATCCAAAATGCTAAGGCAGCAGAATTGTAAAAATTTAGAGGTAAAAACTGGATCTGAGATCATTCAAAATACAGCTAGTACTTGAAAAAGCTGGGCAGTCATAAAGAAAATTGAGTAAGGTCATTGATGGCAACTCTACAAAATTTTTATGCTCTTATGAAATCGTTGACCTTCTAAATATTTCATCTAGTTTCTAAATTCAAAAAAGGACAACTTTTGAGTTTCTAAACACTTATCTTTTAAAAATAGTTTATAATGGTATCAACATGATACCTCTAATTTTTCACATGTGAGACAGCATACATGGAGGGAAAATGTTTCTGAAACTCAATAGAGCCTAATTTAAATTTTAGTCAAGTATGTTAAGTTCTCTGTATCTCAGAGTTGTCATCTCAAAAAGTGGAAGTTATGATACTTCTGAACCATAATTATGCTAAGTGTTAGGCAGAATGACTATGAACAAAATTTTAAGCTATAAAGAATTTAAATTTGTAAAATTATAAATGTAAACAATACATATTTGCCTGATACAATGATAAATGTTATAATCATGTAACAAATGAGAAAGTATTTATATGACACATACCAATATATACTCAACCATTGTGACCAGAGATTTCCCTTGTATGTGGCTTAATTTTACCTTCTTTCCTTCAATATTAAGCTACTGGAAAATTAGTGAAGTTTATGGTACAATTTGAACAGCACATAAATAATTTGTCAATTTACTATTCTATAGCAGCAGTTTATAAGAATATGTAGATGAGTGTTTTGGAAAGAAAATGGCTTAAGGAAGTAATTTTGGGACACAGGCATATGAAAGAAAATAAACACCGGATATATCTCACCTGGGATTGAATGTCAACTCTGCCACCTCACAATTCCATTTCCAAGCAAAAGCTACATAGATCAATCAGAATAATTTCAATGTAATTCTAACATTATGCAACCTAAGATAATGTACAATCTGAAACCTGACCAAAAGGTGTGCATTTTGAACTTGCCTTATAATTTTTCTTAAATTGCCCTCAAAAGTCAAGGTGACTAGTAGGAAGAGAGGTTCTGATATCGATTTTCTAGAAAATTGTCTTTTACTTTGATGTTCTATTCAAGTTGTATAGTTCAGTCAAGTAGCATTTCTACATTTGGAACTCTCAGAATTTCAGGTATACTTGTAGCCCTTTGATTGAGGGGAAGTATTACAATGTTTGACTTAAAGCAACCACCCAGATAAAATAGAAGAAATAAGAGTGTAATTTTTTAAAAACCAAATATCTGGCCACTCAAGACTATAGTTCCATATGGTAAACATCAATCTTTATGTGGGTGAGATGATGAGGCAGAAGGATTTAAAATGTTATCCTGAATTTGTCAGCAGATTTTACTTTAATTCTATTTGCACATTAAACTTCTGAGTTATAAATGTTCCTTCACTAACTAAAATGCTTATAGAAGCGTTACATCATTTTCTACACTTTGATTCAAGACTATATGAGAACCAAAGTGCAGTGAGATTGGAATTTTAAAAAATAGAATGATTTTCATATATTGATATATTAAGCCTGTAGGACCAAATAAATTTAATAGATAGGATTCTACTTAAAAGTACTAACTACTCTGTCAGGATTTACCTCTTTGGGTTTACTTTTTCTAGCACCTAGTTTGATAAAACCATGAAGAGATTTCATATGGTCTATTAGGTTTCTACTTAAATTACTGCCCCCTCCCAATACTGCCTCCTGAGATGATTACAGGCCACTTTGATGGGAGGTTTAGGAATTCCAAAACTTTTCAGTAATACATTTAGAGACAATTTGAGTTACTCCCAACAGATGGCTAATTACATCTATTGTGTGGTGATTTAGTTCTCAGAGGCAATCTTATTACCCATTTCTTGTTTGAAGAGAGGACAGCTCACTGTTTCCATGATGGTACACTAAATTTGGAAAGAGCCTTAAGGATAATTTTCAACTCCCTCATTATGAAGATGGAAGAACTTACTTAAACAGAGTAAGTGGGGAATCACTTATAAAAAGAATTTAACAAACTCTCATTATGAGGCTAAATATGCAAAACAATGTGTGCTTGTAAAGAGGGTAGTTCTTTTCAGTTGGGTAGAATGATGTCAAAGAAGCCATGCACAAAATAATTTATTCAACAAAGTAAAATGTGTTGTAAGAATAGAAAAATAAAAGAGTCCTTTGGAGCTCAGAGATACTTATTCCAATAGTGAGAAAATTGGACTTCTTAAGAAAGGAAAAGATTTTTGATATGGATCTTGAAGGACAAGTAAGATTTTTGATAAAGATTAGGAGGTTGTAGAGATATTTTGTGAGGAAGGAGGAATTTATGTTAACCACGGCAGGCAGGGATTTTTATAATGAAAGCAAACATCATATTGAGTTCAGTATAATGAGACATATGGCACTAAAAGCAGATTGAACTGGTAAAAATCTAGTTTCATACTAAGAAATTTTCATTTTGCATTGGAGGTTTGGCCTGTGGTTAAGACGTCCATGGTCCATATCAGAATTCCTTGGTTTGATTCCTGTCTCAGGCTCCTCATTCCAGCTTCCTGTTATTGTGCCCCCTGGGAGGCGATAGGTTTTACTATAATAGTTGGGCTCCTGCCACCCATATGGGACAGCTGGATTAAGTTTCCAGCTATCTGGCTTCTATTCACACCCCACCACCTGCTCCACCAATGCAGATATTTGGGGCATGAACCAGCAGATGGGATCTCCCTCTCCCTCTCCCACCTCTCCCCCCCCACCCGCCCCAGACCAAATGAAGGAGAGAAAGTTTTACTAATGACTTCAGATTTTATAAATAAGGTGATCATCATGTTTGGTGTTTAAGTAAGCACCCCTTGACTTGCATCCTCTTAAGGCTGCCTCCATGGTCTCCTTTACCAGATGCCAGGAAGAAGAGGAAGCTAGGCAGCAGAAGCAATGTAAAGATAGGTGGCAGGCCAATTAATGGCTGCTTTATACAGTCATCTTGTTGTAAGCAGGCACATAGAATAAAATTGATTAGGTTGTGAGCTGGAAGACCATACCTTCACCACACCCCTGTGTGACCTCATGCCCCTACCTGGCCACACCTGGGTGCCCACCAGCCAATGAGGTTAATTAACCACTCCCCTTTGGAAGTGGATTAAAAGCCTGGGACACGGTGTATCCCAGTCCTTCTCTTCTTCCTCGGCCTCTTGCCAGGAGGGGGCTTGCTGTAGCCCTGCGCCTCCAGGTGAAGGGAAAGGCCGAGAGCCGCGGAGAGCCGCCTTAAAAGTGGCCTTGATAAAATAGAAAAACAGGAACTTAAGACAAACAGTTTCAACCCCTCCCCGTCGTGCCCTTTCGACCTAGTACTTTTCCACTGATACCCCCTCCCCGTGCTTGCTCAAGCTTGACAAAGAAACCGCAAGACACGTAAGGCACGTAGCCACCCGTTCCTCTTCCTCTACGACCCCCTCCCCTTGTCCATGTACTTTGCCCAACTGTCTAGTTGCCCAATGAACTTATGCCACCCTATAATATGTTAATCTTGTGGTTTTGCCCTTTAAAAGCTGTGTGAAATGATTGCTCGGGGCTCTCTCTCTCTTTCCCGCTGCTTGCGGAAGCAGAGGGCCCATTTGCGCAAATGAAATAAAACTGCCTCTTGCTTTTTGCATCGCCTGGTCTGGAGTCTGTGTTTCTGGGGTCGTCACAAAAGGGCACCGCTTTTGGGGTCCTTCACAGGGTGCATGGCCTTTGGGCCACGTGTCCTAGGCTTCCTGGCCTAGCTGCTCCTCCACCTGTGGCTGGTTCCTGGTGCTTGGTATGAACCCAGACTTACCTCTCTCTCTTAATAAAACTCTCACTCTCCTATGCATCTTTCTCACTAAATAAAGCTTAAAATGTACCATGCTGCCTCTTTATCTGTGTCACTATTTAGAATTCTTCTCTAAATATTAGTCAAGAACCCTCTCAAGCTTATTAATATTGGGGATTTATTAATAAGCATGTGGTGATATCGTATGGCACCCTAAATTATGATAGCATATGTGGCACCCCAGATGGGACTTTTGGGGAACTTTAAGGGCCACATTTTTGTATAGATTTTAGGGGTCATTCTCTGATTTCACTGGTATTCAGTATGAATCCAGATTTACCCCATCTCTTTTAGATAAAGCCATCACTCTCCTATACATTTATCTCATTGAATAAAAGCTTAAAAATGTATCATGCTGCCTCATTCATTTATGCCTATGCTGGTATTCAGAATTCTTCTCTGAATATTAGGCAAGAATCCACATAGGCTTATTAGCACATGGCGATATCATATGGCACCCCAGATGGGATCCTGAGGGGGATATATTCCGCAGAAGACAGCTTATGAAGATACCTGGCAGCTCTGCCAGCCAAGAGTTGGGTCACTGGAAATGGAACTGCCCTGGAGTTGAAGGATCCCAGGATCTGCAGTCCTTGTTGGCTCTAAGCTGAAAAGCCCTTCACTCAGCCCAGCTTCCAAAGTAAACAATGTTGTCAAGGGGATGGCCAAATGGGGTCAGCAACATTGTAGGAAGCACTTTAAATTAACTAAAAATGTTTTCCTTTTAGAGATGCCACTTACCTGCTCTTCAAGTCAGCTCTCCTCCCAGGCCAGCTAGGTAATGGAAGTCACAAGGTGCCTACCATAAGGAGGCTTACACCTCCCTTATGATTTACTCCATGTGAAGAAATAGATAGGCCTGGGCCTCATAAAGGGCAAGGCCTTAAAGCTCACTTGATTATTATAAAGCCCCTTCTGTCAATTTCTATTTGCCTCTCAATGGGTAAACTTGCTCTTGGTTCAGACAGCACCTTTCTTAGGTCTTCAAGTAATGACTCTGCCATTTGTTTTAGATCCTGTGAGTTTAAACTGCTTGTTAGATTAGTTTTCTTGAAACTGAAATTCTAGGTGTCTATGCACATAAAACCTCAGATGGGAGCAGTTTCTACAGGCTGGCACAGTGTGCCCCTCCAGAAGCCACATCCTGCTGGAACCCTTTTCTTGACTCCTATTCCCAAAAATGCCCCTTTGCAACATGAAGCAGCCAGAGCAATCATTGCCCAGCCCCCACAACAGAAGTTAGGGTCCATTCTTCTTGGGGAAGGAGGACATGTGAAGAGTCAGATGGGTTAATAGGCAATCAGTGGAAATTGAGGGTGGAAAATGTTCCCCCCAAAAGTTATCTTTAGCAAGGTTAGAAGTGCCTGCCTTCCCACTCCTTGAAAGCTTCCAATCTTATCATGAGAATAGCAAAGGACAGGTGATTCCTACTGAGTTCCCAGTTCATTGTAAAGTAAATTAGGTATCCCACCCTTCTGCTGGCTCTTTGTTTTATCTTGAGCAAGCCAGACAGGATAAAGGATTGTAAATTGGGTCTTTTGATAGGTTTTGTCCCAGCCTTGTAATAAATGTCAAGCTGAAGTTTTTTCTCCAAAACTGTGCTTAAAAACCCTAGTACCATCAGCCTCCTTGGTTTTTTTCCTCTCTTGGTACCATCCCTCCATGCTGCTCTGGCTTGACATCTTTGACTCTAATAAATCCTGCTTTTACATCTCAAAAATAGGAATAATAACAATATCTGGATTTTTGCTATTGAGTTGTTTGAGCTTCATACACATTCTGGAAGTTAACTTCTTGAAAAAGTTATAGTTTATAAATATGTTGGGGTTTCAAAAAAATAGTATTGAAGTAGGCAGGCATACAGGCTATAACTGATTAGATTTGTGAACTGGAAGACCATGCCTTCTCCATGCCCCTTTGTGACCTCACGCCCTACCTAATATCTTCACCACACCCCTGTGTGACCTCATCCCCCTACCTGGCCACACCTGGGTGTTCACCAGCCAATCAGGTTAATTAACCACTCCCCTTTGGAAGTGGGTTAAAAGCCTGGGACACAGTGTGTCCATTCTTTTTTGCCTTGGCCTCTTGCCAGGAGGGGGCTGGCTGTAGCCCTGAGCCTCCAGGGTGTGTGGCCAGAAGACCACCTGCCTTAGGCTTCCTGGCCTAGATGCTCTTCCATGTGGCTGGTTCCTGGTGCTTGGTATGAACCAAGATTTACCTCTCTCTCTTAAATAAAGCTCTCTTTCCCCTATGATTTCTCTCACTGAATAAAAGCTTAAAATGTACCATGCTGTCTCATTTATCTGTGCCGGTATTTAGAATTCTTCTCTAAATATTAGGCAAGAACCCTCTCAAGCTTATTAATATTGGGGATTTATTAATAAGCATATGGTGATATCATATGGCACCCCAAATTATGATAGCATATGTGGCCCCCAGATGGGACTTCTGGGGAACTTTAAGGGCCACATTTTTGTATAGATTTTAGGGGTCATTCTCTGATTTCACTGGTATTCAGTATGAATCCAGATTTACCCCATCTCTTTTAGATAAAGCCATCACTCTCCTATACATTTATCTCATTGAATAAAAGCTTAAAAATGTATCATGCTGCCTCATTCATTTATGCCTATGCTGGTATTCAGAATTCTTCTCTGAATATTAGGCAAGAATCCACATAGGCTTATTAGCACATGGCGATATCATATGGCACCCCAGATGGGATCCTGAGGGGGATATATTCCGCAGAAGACAGCTTATGAAGATACCTGGCAGCTCTGCCAGCCAAGAGTTGGGTCACTGGAAATGGAACTGCCCTGGAGTTGAAGGATCCCAGGATCTGCAGTCCTTGTTGGCTCTAAGCTGAAAAGCCCTTCACTCAGCCCAGCTTCCAAAGTAAACAATGTTGTCAAGGGGATGGCCAAATGGGGTCAGCAACATTGTAGGAAGCACTTTAAATTAACTAAAAATGTTTTCCTTTTAGAGATGCCACTTACCTTCGCTTCAAGTCAGCTCTCCTCCCAGGCCAGCTAGGTAATG